CCCACCCACACCCACACCCACACCCACACCCACACCCACCCACACCCTATCAGTGTTGTCACGTTCATTGTTTCTACCTTATCGCCACTCTGTCCATAAAGATGTGAAAGATAGACCAAAAAGTATAAAAAACCCAGTGTATTCACAGAAATTGAAGATGTACAAAGCCGAAGAGTAGCATCATCACTGTATGTCCCGCTGTAAACGATGATACAATGTTTAGCTTTTTTCTATAGAGAAGACTCGGATTGGAATGAGTCATAGGTGGGTGGGTAGGCGAATGCATGAATAGACATGTTACAACACCAAAACCAAATTCAAAACATTTGGGTTGTTGATTTAGGGTTCTGATTCAGTTTTCAGTTTTGGGGACCAAAACGATTTAACTTAATTTATAGAATTTAAAATGATTTATGTGATTTAGTTTGATTTTCAGCCGATCTAAACCAATTGTTTTTTTTTCCTGGAAAAAAGTCATTGATGCAGCAAGTTATTCGAGTAGTGATTCAATCTACGAAGCTCATTCAATCAAGAAAATTGGTCGACCTCACTTAGGCTGACTGCATGGACACGTTTTAAATCAAATCATAATTGGTTCGCTTTCATTTTCTATTTATTCAAATATTTCTTATCTAGACACCAATGAAATGTCATTTCTTCTCCAAACTTCTTCGATTACTATAACTTCAGACAGGATGCCCAATCGATTAGCACGATGATTATCGATAGAATTGATGAAACTCGACTAGAAAATATTGACTGTTTCCATTAGTAAAAAGTGATCGTGGCTACAAACCCAAGTTCTAGTGACACATCCATTCATGCATCGATAAATAACTGAAATCTGTCTACAATAGAACTAACCAAATCTATATTTCTTAGAATATCATGACACAACTACCATTTCTACCATCCTGTGTATTTATCCATCTGATCTCGATTTGTTAAGCAAACGTCAATGATTGTCAACACACTAATAACATTCATTGGTGATGATAGGAATGCATAACTGTCAATTAACAATACACGCGACAATCTGAATGTTAATTCGAACTCTCTCGGACGAAATCAACGAAAAATTTTTCTGGAACATTCTATTCTGAAGTTATAAATTTGAAGTTTGCATTGTATCTTGCATGACACATCATGCTCTAAATAATAGTTTCAAAAATCAATAAATATTCTTTAGTCGTAAAAGAAAATAAACTGATTTCAATATGGTCGTGCGAATTTAGATAAGTATTTCAAATGTTCCTCGATGATTGTTAGTGAAAAGATGTATAGAATAACATTATCTTGATAATTTTTGATTGCTTGTTTAAGACTCTTAGAGTGAAACTGACACAAGTGTAATACGTCGTTTATCATGCCAAACACTGAATGTAACAACCACCGAAGCAATGATAATCAAGACAGCACAACCAAGGCCGATTACATTAGCTCGTATTTGTTGTTGTAAATGTCCTGAGACAAAAGCTCCAGCTAGATCACTCAGATTAGCCAAAGACATATATGTGGTAAATTGTGAACCTATTTTAACAAGACAAAAGTTCATTTTCGCTTTGCTAATACGAGTATAGATCTACCTTCTACATGTGTTCGACAAAGAGCCATTAGCACTGGCATAGCTGCCGTTGATAGAATAGGATCCATCATACTCCAAAGAATCAGAACAGTCGTCGCTACGGACCGTTGATACCAATAAGACTCGATCAGATTTACAGTCAGCATGTAAATAGCATTAATAAACATCACGATAATAAGAAGATAACGAGCGCCTATGAAATCTGCTAACCAACCGCCGATCAATGCAACACCAAGTGAAATTAATGTTCCCCATATTCCAGAAAGAATCGAGACCGATGTATCTGACCATCCCAAAACTTTGATCAAATGAACTACAAGCAGATAAAAGACAGTTATTCGTGTCATCATGGTTAGTATTGAATAGTTTCACAATAGGATCGTTACGGTATCTATCTGATCGTTCGAATCTGAAGAGTTCTATTTAACTTACTATTATAGGCACGAATGAATGCCGATTGACACGTATAAACGAGCAATATAGGAATAAATAATCGTAGAGATTGAAATGCAAATAAACCCTTGAAAAGTTCAATAAATAATCTTAAAATTGAATAATTATGTCGATTTTCATATTGTTGCCTATTTACATAACCTTTTCGACAACGACAAGGTAATAATTGATCATTCGAATTTTCCTTGATGAAAAATGTTATCACTGTAAATATCAATAAAAACAGGGAATTAACAGATGCTGCACCTAAGTAACTCCAATTTCTTAACATCCAAGCTAGACCAGCGGCTCCTAATGAAATTCCAACGAGAAATCCACCACGCATAAATCCATTGATTCGACCACGTTCATTCAATGGTATAGTAGTAATTGCTTGAGCATCAACACTAGCATCTTGAATCGATGCAAATATTGAATGAATAAAAAAAGCAATCACTAATGTTTTAATATATTTTGTTGGAGGATCACGAACAAATAAAAGACCAAGCGAAGCAAGAAAAGCACACGTTTGAGCACCAATTACCCATGGACGACGACGACCCATTGGTGACGATTGAAAACGATCTGAATTTATATTAAGACAAGACAATGTTTTGTTAATAAATCATTTCTTTTTTACCAATTAATGGACCCCAAACAAATTGTAATGCCTAGAAATAAATATTCATTTGAACAAATACATTCTAATTGATCTCGAACAAACCCATGGTAAACTCGAGAGCGATACAAATGTTCCTACTGTTGATGATTGTTCACCTTCCGCTAGAAAACTCACATAGATCTTCATTCATAATATTATGAAAGTTGCAATCGAATCGATTGACACTTATTTACTTACCAGTTAAATAATTAGCCAATGCTGTTGATGAAAATCCGGCTGGAACACCTTGCATTATGTAGAGATAAAAAAATGTTATATATCGAAGAATTTTATTCTGTTTCAAACTCAAGAAATATGTTCGTTTTTCAATAGAATCACAGACATTGTACATGAGATAATCGATGGTATAATTTGATAAGGAATCAGTGGAATATCGATAGATAAAATTTGGCAAGGTTACTAGAATATATTTGGAAAGTTCGAGTGGATACTCAATAGATTTCCATTCATGTTGATCAGCAGCAAGACGTTGTAAATGATAGGTCGAATAGAGATGAAATTGAAGAGATGATATTTCACTTTGATGAATAATCAATGGTTCATTGATTTGAATATAATGATTGAATAGAATTGTATTAGGAGTTGTAGATGATAATTGTTTGTTCAATTGAAGAATGTCAATCAAATGGACGGATACTTGTTCACAGATATCGAATAGAGTTTTCATTGATACCGATGAAGTGAAAAGAGTTTTTTGATTGGTTCTTGTTAACGAGATGGATTCTTTTTTCGATGGTGGTTCATTTAAATTAATTGATCGAATATAATTAGAACCGAAAGCAAATTTTTCGTCCATTGAAAGATTGAAAAGTTTTTCAGCGAGCAATTTTAATGCATGACAATCAGGTAAATGACCATATGTTGATGAACGAGGAATATAAAAATAACCAAGAGACTTTGCTAATAATAAAACACTATTGTCATTTTTGCCATCTAAATCTATAATTGGTGCTTCCGTCAAAGATTCCATTGGAATTATATTCGACTGCATGAACTAGAAATATATAAAAATATTGTTGATATGATTGTATATCTTATCGTCTTTGATAGCATATTTATATAATGTCAGTAGAAATTAACTACTGAAAAACAAAACAGTCATAATGATATTTTTCTTTCTAGAGAAAAGAAAAAGCCAAAGGATATTCTCACTTGTCTTAATCCTTCTACAGAAAGAAAATCTATAGTATTACCTATAAATAATGAAGTCTCATCATTGATATTAGAAGAACAACAAAACTCTTTTTCAATTGTTGTCTGTTATTTCAGTATATCGTGGGTTGTCACTCTCACGATAAAAATAAACTTTGTCCATCAAATACACACTTTATCGAGCTCGATACAGGTCCTTCATTCGAAGAAATGAGAAGATCAATTGCTCTCATAGATAACATTCCTTTTATGATCTCTCTCTCTCTCTCTGTTTTTCATGTCATCATTCATGTGTATGGCGCATGCCTTCTGTCATTTACTCTTTTATTTTCATTATTTTATTATGTCGAAATCAATCTAACCTTTATTATGTTTTAAGAAAAGAAAGTACAACATTGCGTTGACTATTTATTACATATCATAAACATGGATTAGATGAAAAGATTTAACTAAAAGGTTAAACTCGAAAATCTATAGGAGACATATCACTAAAACACAATAGACTTTTCGAGGATTTCACAAACAAATGGAGAACATTTAATTATGTCAATCTATACCACACAGAACGAACATTACTAGCATATTTCACAGCAGAGAAAAAAGAAACTCGAACTTGGATAGAATTTCGTTGTAAATATGAAACATAAGACACGAATGAATATAAAAAGATAAAATGAATGAGAGATAAAAGTTGAATAATACTGTGACGATTTCTGATGGAAGAAGAGTTATCGCTGGTGGAACTACACTTTATTATATTTCTTCTTATCAAGAATCGCATCGTTTCCATACAAAACATATGCTTATATACTTGTCCATCAGAGAGAAGGAAAGAATATGAAACGAAAGAATGATAAGAACAGAAAATAACGTAAGACCATACATGGAAAGAAAGAAGTATAAGGACCCAAGTCAGCCCATGGGTGGAAGAAAAACAATTAAAAAGTTGTTTCATAGAAAAAAACGACAAGATATATCGCATAAATGTTTCATGAAATTTACAATTCTTATAAGGAAAGCAAATATGAAACATTAAAGACATTTTCTGGATAATGTAAAAGATAGATAAGAAGCGAGACAGTTACTATTTCATGATGCAAGAAAATAAATAAACTTTATGTTTTGACAAAGTTGCAACATACTTTCATACATTATCAATAAGATAAATAAATAGCATAAATTTTATGAATAAGTATTAGCATATGGATAAAATATTAATACTAATCATCGTCATCATGATGTTCATCATTGAACTAAATTTGACTGTTTAATTCACTGTTTCCGTTAGCCATGACAGAAGCAGTTCTTTGATCAGTTTCATCTTGATTTCGTCTAAAATACGAGATCTTATCATGCTTGTGCCACAGTATAAAATAGTAGTGTGAAGTGAACCATATACTTATCGAGCTCTTTTACTTCGACTTCGGGAAGCCCGTTTTTTGTTCACCAATATGTTTAGCACCAACTTTTCCCAATAACAATTAAATTTTTCTGGTTCGTTTTCAAAAAAAGCAGCAATCATGGCTCCTTCGAAATAAATATCAATAAAACATATAATGAATGGTATTACTTACCTTTTACAATATCAAATCGTTCATCTTCTTTATCTAATGCTTCACCATTAATTACTTCTTCTGCTGAATACAGCTTACGAATTAATTTACAATGAATAGCAGTTGTTGATAAATCAGGAGATATTGAATCAAAGAGATTTTTTCCTTGTATTTCTATTATTAAAAATCAAGTCAAAACAAATTAATATAACAATGATCAATTACTCACGTAGATTGGTAATTCAACTGGTTTATTAGCCGATACTTGGTCCTATATAGAACGAAATTTACAAAAGAAAGTAAGATAATAGAAACTCACAAGTTGATTTGCATGAATTAATGAAATCGTCATTTCTTGGAGTTTTTTATTACTTTTACGAAGTACTTGAAGATCATCAACAATAAGTTCTTGTTGTTTCATAACAATTTTCAAACAATTGGTAATATCATCCATTTGCTGTCCATGATCAAGTGAAGATTCAGCATGTTTTCGTTTAATTGATGGTGATGATGGAATATAATCTAAACAAATAAAAATCTTTTTCACTATACATTGATTTTATTAAAGGTAGGACTAACCAGGATCATAAGTTGTAATTCTTGAAGAAACATTTCGATGATAGGAATTCGATTCGAAAACGTCACAATCTGATGAATATGGTTGGACAGCATCTGAACATAATACATCTACTATACGAAAAATGAAACTATATTAAATTTACCTTGATCACTTTGTATATGATGTTGTTGTTGTCTTACTTGTTGTGAAAAAAAATGAGCTGATGATGGAAGTGTACGTCGTGCTGTTAATGGTGAATATGTACATGGTTGAGTTAATGAATTATTAGCAGTTGTTGTGCTAAGAGAAGTTCTTTGGTGATACATATTCCAATCTACAATAAAGCATGAATTTATCTGAAAAAACAACTGACTTTTTTCCATACAGAATAGAGAAACTGCAGAAACAGTCAAAAGAAAATGAACAAGATCAGTTAGAATATATCGAAGTAATATAAAGAATAGCTTGAGTAAAAAGAAACAGCATGAGTAGAACACACAAGATCGAAAGATTTTGAATTAAATGATCTAATATATAAAAAAAAAAATTGTTTCACATTTAATCATGTTCAAGTTCGTGATCAATATTAGATGTAAGAATAATATCATCATCAAATGGAAGAAAAATCGATTTTCGAGGCAAAGAAGAACATGAATATATACGAAAAATAATCGAAGAAGGATGGACGCAATAAAAGTATTGATTGATTCTATCTGACCATGAGCTGATACTATCATCTAGATTGAGATATTTCGATAGTGAAGAAGAAGAAGAACATAACATTTGTTTAACAAAAAAAAAAGAACTTTTCATTACGATATGAAAAGAAGAATAAGATTTCGCCAAAGCACATCAGTTTAGAACAGGACGAGTTATATAAGCATATTCGATAACTAACAGATGTTTTTCGCAACTTATATGACAGTAAATGATAAACGGAAACACCTAAACGCAAACGATCATAAAAGCTAATATTTTCAGCAGCTGCATGATTAAAAAAGCGAAAAAAAGCATAAGTAAATTGTTCATCATATTCTTTGATAATATTTTGATCAAAAAAATAATTTTTTTGAAAAATTATTTAGTGTGCGCTTAACTTTCCTGAAATGAATGAATCGATCGATGGAATACCAAAAGCTCATTTGACTACCCAATGATACTGTTCCATGGTTCATTTTTGCCAAGTGATTTAGTGAACTCAATATTGAACATACTGTGAAAAGCTAACGCACCATGGTTATGGCACTGTCTCCACAAATGAACTAGAAAATGAGTCGATAGAAGTTCAGCACAGGTTCCATAAAATAATGGAAACTGATCTAAGTAACATTCGATAAAAGGATGCATTGCATATATGTCTGATCGATTATAAAAAAAGATCAATGTACGCAGATAAACAAAAAATAAAGAAAAATGTCGAACAATAGCAGAAGGAAAAGATTTTTTTAGATGTATGAGAAGTGAAAGAAATATATATAAAGAAAAAAAGTTCTCATTTGACTAGCTTTCCATTGATTAAACATTGATAAGTTTTTCGGACGTCGATTAAAGGTGTGCGGATAGAGAATACCAGAAAGATAAGCATTTGCTTTTTCAATAGCAACTTTCGGTAATAGCTCAATTCACTGTGTAATAAGTACAGGTAAATGAACTTTCAAACATATATGAAAATAATCAAATACACATTGAGTTGGAATTGATAAGATGGTGGATAAAGGTAATTTTCCTAGAACTCCAAATGGTCGAATTTTTGTCTTGGATGCTGTGATTAAATTAACATAATAATCAATATTTTCTTGAGTCCGAGGTTCAGGATGAGTTGCTTGATATTCATACCATGAATAGAGGACATGACGATGTATGTTACAATGTGTATCTTGGAGAAGGCATCGTGTACATGAAAAATAACCTGTATGAATGGATAGAAAACTATATTTTGATCTCCTAGGTAAATCACCAACAATTAGGTTGAACATAAATGTTAAATAATCTGACACGTATAGGAAGAGAAAAGAAAAACAAAATCATTATTTAAACTGTAGAGATATTTTACAGCTTACAACAGTCGGAAATTGCTGAATATGTTACATGAATAAATGAAAGAGGACGTGTATAATGAAGAGTACATAAAACGTATGTGCTTTATTTCATATTCAATTATTTATTAATTTAATATTGAATAACTGTTGATTATTGTGATTTTCTGCTCAACTAAGATTTATCAGATAGAATTCACTTACAAAATATATTGAAAAGGATTAAGATAATTCTCGTATCTTTATTTCTAATTTTTAATATTGATAAGT